ATAACACGAAAAAAATATTCTCCCTGTTACTACACCAAATTTTTTTTTTCAATCGGGTGGGGCGTCGTGTCAAGTGGGGGTGTTAGAGGCTTGATTTCAATGGCTAACCTACTACTGATTTATAATTTTTACTCTCCGAGTTCCTGCACTGGCCGAGCTACCGCACTCTCCCCCTTCTCCCGCACTCTCCCCCTTCCCCTCCTTCCACCTCCTCGTCATTGGGAGCATTGAAACCTAGTTCATTACCGGGCGCCGCTTCCCTTGATGGGATTATATGTGGAAAAGGAGATTTCAACGTTGCCTTCGCCTCCTAATCTTGATCTGAGAAGGGTGTCGTGAAGAAGATGGGGGGCGTCACTTCGGCGATGGCGGCTAAGTTCGCCTTCTTCCCACCGCACCCACCGCTCTTCTATATTCTCACGGCAATGCCGCCGACCTTGGTCAGCTCTATGATCTACTGACCGAACTCAGTGTTCATCTCCGTGTCAACGTGATGGGGTAAACTTTTTTGCGTAACCTCTGTTGAATTTCTTTTCTCAAGTTCAATATTATTTTATATGGGTTGGGAGTGAAACAGAGGGTTATAGCGCTTTGTTCAACTTGATCTAGATTTCCGTTGTCACTGCACTCTTTGATGCATGGCACAGCATGATTATCGACGCTTAGGCAGAGTTTGCATATTGCATATTCTGACATGTTATTGTATTTCGTACTTATTTTGTGTCATGTTTATTTCATGTTAGTTATTTTTATCAAGTCATGGGCATGCTCGTTTTGATGGCTTGAATGTCTTTATAAAAGTTTAAGCCTCGCATTATTTACTTATGTAACATTTTGATAGAATGTTGAAGCAATATTGTTTGGTATTGTTCCATCCCTTGGTTTATGTTTTTATCCTTTTCTTATAACTGGTTTTCTTTATTGTTTGATATTCTTCCATCTCTTGTTTGAATTATGGTATCAGAGTTGAATTGGTTCATTATGATCATGCTATGTAAGTCCTGAAATTTCTCTCTAGTTTCCACCTATGATCTTCATTTGCCTTGGTTTTCATGCCATTCCTTGGGAATCTTGTCAAGATCTATAATTAATTTCTTTGTCAAGATTGACTTTCCCTCTATTTTAGCATGCTAAACACCATCCTCCATTAAATCATTA